TGATAAGTCTATCCGTCTATGGGATGTCAAAACAGGATAATAAAAAGCCAAATTAGATGGTCATGATGAAGCTGCAATGTCAGTCTGTTTCTCTCCTGATGGAAATACATTAGCTTCTGGTAGTGGTGATAACTCTATACGTCTATGGGATGTAAAGACAGGATAAGAAATTAAATCCTCTGATAAAAACTAGAAAGATATTCTTCCATAATTTAAGATTTCACTCTAATAAAATTGCCCATTATAAGAAAGTAATATTATTTTTTTTGATATTTTAAGCCTCCAATTACATCACTACACTCCTTATATCCTAATAGGCTATATTTTAAGCATAAGGAGCACTAATTTTGAGAGGAGAGTTTATCAATCAATCAGGTATAGATTTAAAGACATTGTTTAAACAAAAGGGTAGCTGTATTTTACAAAACCAATTAGACTGCAATAACAAATGAAAATGATTTAATATGTTAACATAAATTATATCTATATAACAACTTTAGCGACATTTTTTTCACCATTATTTTTTATCTGTATCTGGTCAAGTTAACTTTTTCTACTCAATGCATTTTCATCATTACTTAATATTCTCCATTAAGATAATAGTAAAATTATAATCTTGTCCAATTATTAATTCTAAAATTTTTAAATTATTAATTAGAAAATACTAAGTTTTTTAATTATCAAGCTTAAATGGATATTTTTTTTTTAATTCTATTGCCTTTTCTCTCAATTTTACATTCTTATTACTTTATAATTTATTCAACATAATACAATCTTTTAAGAGAATAAATTAAAAATGATAATTCATTTATATGTAGATTATATGAAATAATCTATAAAAAAAAGCTAAAAAAATGTCTCAAAAATGAAAAAAAATATTTAAACATATTAAAATCTAATTATTAAAAAAAATTGACTCCGAAATAAGCAAAAAGTAACATATCAAAACCTCAAAATTAAGTAAGAAATCATCAAAAAAACACTCAAATAACATAATTTATACAAATAACAACCTATAAAACCCAAAAAACAATAAAAACTATTCAATAACAAAACATCAAAACTCATTTTTACCAATTACAACTCAAATCAACATATCTAATAAACTAATACATATATTACCCTTCATAAAGCTATCAAAAATGCATATAAAAAAATCTCATACCTATTAATGTTTAATAGCTGTATATAATTTTTGTAGTTATAGCAATTAAAAACATATAATATGGTAGTTATAACTTTAATATTAATTATATATTAGTAATGGGGAAATGAGCGATTTTTTGATGTTTTTGTTATGAGAGTCTAGTGAGATATGACACCACAACGCACCTCATATGACTATAATTATGCCGAACAAAAAGCACCCTATCGTTGAAACCACCACGAATCTAATTTATGACTAGGGCATAAGTTCCAAAAAATGCTTCTCAATGCTCTGAGTAGGGAATAAGTAGAACGCATTATTTTCTATCAATTCCACTACTTTTCATCGTTTTAGCTACACTCCTTCTTTATCAAAATTAAAACTATTTTATTTCCTTACTTAACAAATTTAACTCAAAATCAATTTGTGAACCTGATTCTTTTGTGGGCAAGATTAAAAAATTGTTCTAAATCAAATAAGCCAAATTCATATTTTTCCCAAATTTCTTCATGATTATTAGAAAGAAGTGTATATATTTATATGTAAGATTTAATTGAAAATATAATTATGCTTTATTAATGATTTAATTATTTCTTCCACAACAACTAATATATTTTAATATTTAATACTATTTAGAACTAATACTAAATATTCTAACTATTAAGATTAATATAAATAATTCTAATATACATGAATACTAATAAATTAATCTCTATATACTTGTATATTAATACATTTTTAATAGAAATGTAAATCGTTAATTTATTTATCTTTTAATTTACAAATGCAATCTATACTTTACAAGTACAGTATACAGAAAAAAAATGAGAGAATTAACTCAGCAGTGCATTCAAATCTTCGATCAATTTATGGATGTAACAATTTCTTTACCATCTTAGGAATCATACCATTGAATTAATGGCTTCATTGACTCCATTTACGATTAATTGGGTTTAAAGCCAGTACCTAAACAGAAGAAGGACCATGAAACAAGTACAAAACTTTTAAAATTACCGGATTCTCATCAAGTGAAAATAGATATGAACATCTATATCACTCCTAATGAAATTCAATCATTAAGGTAGATAAGTTTATAATTAAATATATAGAGCTGTGTAATAAAAGGTAGAAGTAGGACAGGAAGCGTATTAAGATCAAGAGGAGAAATAGTTAATATAAATATAAAGGAACATGATATTCATAGTATATTTTATCTCTATTACTATAAAATCCTAACTCTACACAAGATTTAAACTCTAATTTTTACAAAATTACATGAGATATTTTTATCAATTTTGCATTATATAACTTTTAGTAAGAATAGTAGAAATTCATTATTAAAAATAAAAAACATTATGCAAGGCTCTTTTCAAGTAAAGGAAGCTCTAGCTGATATCTTTTATTAAGTAAAAGATGTCAACAAACAAATCCTTGCGGTTATATACGAAATATTAAAAAAGGAAAAAGCATAAGACTGCATTGAATTTCTATCAGATATAGGGAATCAAAGGCCATTAGAGTCACAAATTTTACAACAAGTAGGGAATTTCGCAAAAACTGATGCAGAATAGATATTGTATTGTGTTAGAAATGACATGAAGTAAATTACAGATGTTTTAAGAAAATTAAAAGATCATGACTTCAATTACAAAGACTTTTCCTCTGAAGAAAATGAAGAATCAAAAGAAATTCTAATTAAAATCATCAAGGATAATAAAAGGATCATTGAATTTCTCTAATTTTTAATTCACCTCACATCCATTGATTAAACTTTGATATAATGTGGATCTAATTCATTTCATCTTTTAGTTTAGGTGAAGGTGGACTTTAGAAACTAAAATCTTGAAAATATTAAGATCTAAAATACATCACTAGTAGGAGCTAATTTTTTTAGGTGTAATTTAAGTGGATCATATTTTAATAATGTCAACATAAGTGGAATAAACCTGAATGGAGCGTTATTATTTAATTGTAAATGGAAGAATTTAAGAATCCCTGAATTAAATAAATTTAATGGTCATACTGGATATATTTAATCAGTTTGTTTCTCTCCTGATGGAAATACATTAGCATCTGGTAGTACTGATTACTCTATCTAACTATGGGATGTCAAAACAGGATTATAAAAAGCCAAATTAGATGGTCATAGTAATTTAGTTATGTCAGTCTGTTTCTCTCCTGATGGAAATACATTAGCTTCTGGTAGTAATGATAAGTCTATCCGTCTATGGGATGTCAAAACAGGATAATAAAAAGCCAAATTAGATGGTCATACTAGTACTGTCTACTCAGTCTGTTTCTCTCCTGATGGAAATACATTAGCTTCTGGTAGTAATGATAACTCTATCCGTCTATGGGATGTCAAAACAGGATAATAAAAAGCCAAATTAGATGGTCATACTAATTGTATATTGTCAGTCTGTTTCTCTCCTGATGGAAATACATTAGCTTCTGGTAGTAATGATAAGTCTATCCGTCTATGGGATGTCAAAACAGGATAATAAAAAGCCAAATTAGATGGTCATACTAGTTGTATATTGTCAGTCTGTTTCTCTCCTGATGGAAATACATTAGCTTCTGGTAGTAATGATAAGTCTATCCGTCTATGGGATGTCAAAACAGGATAATAAAAAGCCAAATTAGATGGTCATACTAGTTGTATATTGTCAGTCTGTTTCTCTCCTGATGGAAATACATTAGCTTCTGGTAGTAATGATAAGTCTATCCGTCTATGGGATGTCAAAACAGGATAATAAAAAGCCAAATTAGATGGTCATACTAGTTGTATATTGTCAGTCTGTTTCTCTCCTGATGGAAATACATTAGCTTCTGGTAGTAATGATAAGTCTATCCGTCTATGGGATGTCAAAACAGGATAATAAAAAGCCAAATTAGATGGTCATACTAGTTGTATATTGTCAGTCTGTTTCTCTCCTGATGGAAATACATTAGCTTCTGGTAGTAATGATAAGTCTATCCGTCTATGGGATGTCAAAACAGGATAATAAAAAGCCAAATTAGATGGTCATACTAGTTGTATATTGTCAGTCTGTTTCTCTCCTGATGGAAATACATTAGCTTCTGGTAGTCATGATAAGTCTATCCGTCTATGGGATGTCAAAACAGGATAATAAAAAGCCAAATTAAATGGCCATAGTTCTACTGTCTACTCAGTCTGCTTCTCATCTGATGGAAATACATTAGCAAGTGGTAATGAAGAGTCTATCCATCTATGGGATGTCAAAACAGGATAATAAAAAGCCTAATTAGATGGTTTTAGTTCTACTGTCTACTCAGTCTGCTTCTCATCTGATGGAAATACATTAGCATCTGGTGGCTATGATAAGTCTATTCGTCTTTGGGATGTCAAAACAGGGTAATAAAAAACCAAATTGGATGGTCATAGTAATATTGTTCGATCAGTCTGTTTCTCACATGATGGACAAGCATTAGCAACTTGTAGTGAAGATAAGTCTATTCGTTTATGGGATGTCAAAACAGGAGAACAAAAAGCCAAATTAGATGGTCATACTGATCATGTCTACTAAGTCTGTTTCTCTCCTGATGGAAATATATTAGCCTCTGGTAGTTATGATAAGTCTATCCGTCTCTGGGATATCTATGCAGGATAACAAAAAGATAAATTAGATGGTCATAGTGATTATGTTATGTCAGTCTGTTTCTCTCCTGATGGAAATATATTAGCATCTGCTAGTGCAGATTAGTCTATTTGTATATGGGATGTCAAAACAGGATAATAAAAAGCCAAATTAGATGGTCATAGTGATTATGTTATGTCAGTCTGTTTCTCTCCTGATAGAAATATATTAGCATCTGCTAGTGCAGATTAGTCTATTTGTATATGGGATGTCAAAACAGGATAATAAAAAGCCAAATTAAATGATTATATTCAAGGTGTCTTGTCAGTGTGTTTCTCTCCTGATGGAAATACATTAGCATCTGCTAGTGATGATAACTCTATCCGTCTATGGGATGTCAAAACAGGATAATAAAAAGCCAAATTAGATGGTCATAGTGATTATGTTATGTCAGTCAGTTTCTCTCCTGATGGAAATCTAATAGCATCTGGTAGTTATGATTAGTCTATTCGTCTTTGGGATGTAAAAATAAGATAATAGAAAGCCAAATTAGATGGTCATACTCATCATGTCTACTAAGTCTGTTTCTCTCCTGATGGAAACATATTAGCTTCTAGTAGTGAAGATAAGTCTATCCAACTTTGGGATGTCAAAACAGGATAATAAAAGGCCAAATTAGATGGTCATACTCAAGGTGTCTTGTCAGTGTGTTTCTCTCCTAATGGAAATACATTAGCATCTGGTAGTTTTGATAAGTCTATCCGTCTATGGGATGTTAAGAATCGAAAAGAAATTTCATCTGCTGACAAAATATATAAAGATATTCTTGCTTTATTTTCTGCACCACTCTTATATAATAACCCTTTACCAGGTATTTATTATGTTATTATTATTTAGTCTCTAATCACTCATTTCTTGTTATATCCTAATCAATAATATTGGAAGCATCAGGAACACTTATCCTGTAAGGAGAATTTATTAATCATTAAGGGAAAGATTTAAAACCTTNAGCATCTGTTGTTTTTTCATAATCTGAACATTTTTTTGTTATGCATTTATTATCAGTAGTATCAAATTTACACCATTTATCCCCATTTTATTAAGTTATACTTTCACATTCAGTTTATTAACCTTCTCCACTATACTAACTACATACATCATTTGAAGTGCATGTTTTTAATTCTTTATTGTAATTACATCTAGAAGAAAACTTTTAACATTCAGCATTTGAATTACCCAAATATGATTAACAATCTCCCATCATTATACATTTATTTTCAGAAAATACACAACCCGATTACTTTGGACAAGTTTTTGTATCAGTACAAAGCTTTGATATGAATCTTGTTGTAGTTGTTTAAGTTGTTACTGTTTTACACTTTGAAGTTGTACTATCCCATTCACATTTAGAGTTTAAAAGGCAATCTTTTATTGTCTAAACTGTTGTGCATAGACAAACATCAGTTGAATTAACAGTTACGCTGCTTACCTAAAATGAAAGCAAAGCTATTGAGATCAAGAGGAATTTCATGATTTAAATTAAAATATGAAATATTTTTGAATTAAATCTCCTTTTAAACCAATATTTTTTTTTATCATCTTTTATCTTTTAAAGCATTTTACTCTATCATTCTTAAATTTATATATTTTGAAAAATATTTATATTAATCCTAATTTTTATTCTCAAGCACACTTATTTCTAACTCAATTTCTAAGTTTTATTAATTTAATATTTATTACTATTCTATATATTGAATGACTCATCTCTAATTCTTAATTGAAACTCTTTATCTGAATTATTGACATTATTTGTGTAAGTTTTTTTTTATTCAAATATTATTACAAGAATTCTCACAATAAAAAATCCATAAGGATTAATTATAACTATAAAAAAATTAATTATTAAATTATGTTTTAAAAAATCAATTTGTTGAATCATTACTTTTATCATGATGATTATTAAAATTTAAAGTTCTTTTCTATCTACTCCCTCTTCTAAACATTAAATGAGTCACTGGAGGTTCAAAATAATCACTATTAATAGTGGGCTTTTCTTAAGGGCTTTTTGATATTATATTAAATTATTTTCTAATAGGTATTACTTAAATATCTTTTGAAGCTTTAGGAGATCTTTATGATTATTTTGAACTTATTCTAAACTAAGTCTAATTTGGATTAAGTGCTCCTAAAAATTAAATTGGAATATTTCTATTAGAATTTTAGCTTTCTTAATCAAAAAAAGGATGTTATAATAATTATTAACATGTCTTAACTTTAGAACCTTGATTAAAGATTATATTCAAAAAATCAAAACATGAATCTGATAATGGAGGATCAATAAATTAAAAATCTCTTGTTCCTTCAAATTTATTCATCATAGCATCATCAAGTGCTTGATCAAAATGTAATTGATTTCCTGTTAATAAATTATGCATCACTATTCCTAAAGCAAGTACATCAAGTTTAATATAATATTATTTCTGTTTCTCTATATTTACTTATAAATATTGATAATCATCTTATTCCAAATTAGAATATTATTCAGCTTAAGTGAAACCTATTAAACATGGATTAGATAAATCATGTCTCTACTTAAGTATAATGTTTGAAGTACAAATTTATTTATGATATATATTAAGATCATGTAGATATTAAACTGCTTAAAATAGAGGCTTAATGACAATTTATACTTACTCTTCTTTTAAAGGTTTTGAATTTTAGTAAAATTATGATAGCTTCTATCCTTTTAAGTATTCCTCTAATAAATAAATATGATTATTGCTTTCAAAAACTTCATAAAAATGGAGTAAATGTGGATGTTCCAATTATCGGATTATTTTCAACTCTTTTAGAAATTTCTTCGATTCATAATTATTAGTCAATAATCTCTTTTTATCAAATATTTTAACAGCAAATTCTTGTCTGCTTACTTTATCCTTTGCCTTATAAACCTATCAATTTATTTAAAAAAAAGATATACTATAGTTGAATATCCTTCCCCTATTTTGCTAAAAAGTTAATACTTTTAGCCAAAATCTAATTATATTGTATATTTCTTCATAATATTGATCCATTCATCTAATTAACCAAACATTTCAAAACTTATACCATTTTTACTAAGCTTTACTCCGAGCCATCCTGTTTTTGGATGAACTATTTTTTACATACAAACATTCATCAAATTTATATATTTCTATTTAAGTTTAGAATTTCATTACATCTTCCCCTAATTTAATAAAATTTTGACATATGGATAACTATTTGATTATTAACCTGCTTTGATTACTAATTTAAAATTCGCTTGAATATTATGCAATAAATGGATCAGGACATGTTTTTTGAAATAAAGAAGTATGATTATTGAAAAAGGAATCAACTGAGCAAATTTACAATAGTTGTTGCTTTATCATCAAATATTTATTGTTATAAATAAATAAATTGAAAGTCTATTTTTTTTACTTTTCTATCCTTATTTTATTATATTATATCAAAGTAGTAATAAAATTCAATGATACTCATTAATTCTCATTTAGAAAAAAAATCTATTTTTTAATATTTCAATTATATCAATCAATTAAAAATAGTATAAAATAGAAGGAAAATTCGAATTAGAATAATATTCATTAAAGTTATTTTTTATTTTTATCATTTATGATATTGATTATCTAATTATAGGAAAGAAAGCACATTATATAATTAATTAAAAAGTATTTGCAAATTATATTTAGATTATTTAAGGAAATAGAAATTAATATGAAATTTTATTAAATATTGGAATATAAAATGGTTATTTTATTGACAAAATTGTTTGAAAATAAATCATAGTAACAATAGGCATAAAATTCAATCATTAGATCTTTTATTTCATTTTTGGCAAGATATTCATTCTTGGCAACTGATATAAATTACTTTATCTTCTTTCTGATGTTTATGATGGAGGTTTAACAATTGTTTCTAATTTGTGTAATGTTGATAGTTTAAGAGGTGTAACATTAGGTTTTCTATTTGATAAACTTCTTGAATTACTCTATCTATTTTCAATATATGGGAGTGTATGAACTCTTGACCTTATATCTAAAGAATCCTCATCTAGATTATTTATACTTACCCTTTAATTTTTATCATCAATAGCTTAATATTTTAGGATAAAATTTTTGGGTTCCAATTACTTTTTAAATATATCATTTTTTAAGACTTCAAGTGGTGTGTTTGTTTCACTAATTTAAGTTTCAAAATCAGTAAGTAATAATTATTAGAGTAATACTTCTAATTCATAATTAATTTGCTTAAAATTAAGAATGCTTTTAATCTCATCCATAGAATTTGGTAGATTATATTGATGAAATTGATATCCAGTTAATAATTTAATCAATATAATTCCTAATTATTATAAATCAGAAATATAAGTTTTATCATTTTTCAAAGATGTTCTTTAACTAATCATTTTCTTATTATTGTTTCTTGCTACATTAATTAACATAACTTTAGAATAATGAATTAAACATAAAGAGTTCAAATCTTATTAATACTTAAATGCTATTGATTTTAAGTTTACTTCTCCATGAATATAACCTTTTTTATGTAATTCTTCTAAACCATTTAATGTTTATTTAATGATAAATACAATTTATTCTTAATTAAAATTAGTTTAAGAAATTTTAGAATCTAAAGTGCCTCCTTCAATTAGCTCTTATATTATGTAAAGATGATTTGAACTTTCAAAGATCTCATATAATTTAATTAAATTTTTATGATCTACTTATCTCAACAATGCTACTTATTTTTTGACTAATTCAAGGAGATAATTAGAGCTATGTAGTTAAACTTTATCATATATTCTGGCTGCGTATTAAAATCCTGTTATTTTGTTTTTTATCTTAAATACCTTTCAAATTGATGAAATTTTATTACTTGAAATAAGCTCCCCTCTCCTATTTTCTTTATTATTTTATATTTTTATTGTAAATTGGATTGTATAGTATATTTTTTAAGCACTTCTACCCAATTTTAGACTTCACCATAAACATCCAGTTTTTCTCCATTCTTGCTTAACCTAAATCCTGTTGATGAAGTTCTAGGATGGTAAACCATTTCGAGAAACATATTTCTGACATCAAGAAATTTCTTTTGTATTATTTTTATTTTTACTTCTTCACCGTATTTTATATAATGTCCACCAAGCAATAATGTTTTCAGTATTAATCTGTTTCTGTTGACAACCTGAAGTTCGTCCTATAACTAGAATTACAACATTGTTTATGGTCTATGAATCCAAAACTCTGAGGAATCATCTAAAATAGATTATGTCAAAATGATGGTTTTATTATTCTGAGATTTAATCATTTAAATAATATCAGTGAGAGATAAATATTATCAATAAATTATAAACTGGAAGTTCCGATTAACAAACTTCATATTTTGAATTCAGTTCTAATAAAAATTATATAGGTGAATAATTAATTCGAATATCTCATCTACTCTAAAAACTGAATATAAATATATTTTCAAAATATTGATCAATAAAATTCTTATGTTCTTCTAATTATATTTATTACCTATAAAGTTAATGAATTAAACTAAACAAATTGTAAAAGTAGTTTGTAGGTTAAATTTAATAGTAGTTAAAAAATTCAAGTTAAAAATTGATAAATGAACTACAATAGGTTTTCTTAAAGATAAATATACCTAATAAATTCTAGAATTATAAATTAAGATTTATCTTCAATTTTATTAATATATACTAATCAAATACAAAACAATTTCTAAATTTTCTTTTAAAATTTTGTTATAATTAATGAATCAATTATTGTTGTTAGAATTGAATGAATCTGTTTAAAATCCTTAAATTAAATTTTTTATCTATTAAAAATGACTCTTTTTTTTAAACATATTCTTTAAAATAAAGAAATTTCGAATGAGATAAAAAATCTATACTCAATTCCTGATTACTTTTATAATACTGAATTAAGAATATTAATCAATTTATTATTATTCATTAATTTATTGTGCATTCGATGGATTAGATGATATTTTAAAGAAAAATAAAAATTAATTATTATGTCACTTATTTTTGGTTACTTTTTATTTATATATGTTTAAATGAATAGTAGAGATTGTTCTTGGGTGAAACAAAATAAAAAATAAGATAATTTATGAATTATAATTATAAATAAAAAGCCTCACATAGAAGAAATACATTTTAAATCTTTTATTAAAAATATATTTTAAAAAAAAAATATTATAGCTAGGTATTAGATAAACAAAAATTCATATTGTCATGTAAATTATAAACAAATAAAGAAAAATAAGGTATAATTGTAAGTTTAAATTAGTAGTCAAACTAAAAAAACCAGATTTTAGTTAAAGTTAAGTTAATTAAAATATTTTTGGAGTGTAAATAAATCAAAAATAATTTGTAAATAGTTAAGGAATGGTATCAATTTCAGAATAATTAAGAGGAGATCATGATGTAAAATGAAATTGGTATTTTTGTATTTCTAATATTTACATTTAATTAATTAAAGGTATTTAACAAAGTAATGAAATAAAATTTGAATAAAGTGTTCAATTTTTTTTTAAACTAAATTAGGGATGGATCTAAAATTAAATAAATCAAATCTGATAGTATTAAATTCGAAGAAATAGCAGGAGGCTTATAAAAAATAAATTAATACGTAAAATTTTTAAAGAAACAATCATTTGCAACATTTTTTTAAAGTAATTCTAAATTATTTCTATAATTAAGGTATTTTTTTATAAATTACTTAAGTATATCTTTTGTTATAATTGAAATGAATCAACCTGGAAAAAGGGATTATATTAAGAGAATAAACCAAGAAATTAATTGTAACTTATATAGAGTTTTTTAGGATTATTGAGATTTAGGACTTAAAAAAAATGCAAAAAATATATTTATTGTAATATCAACAAGTTAATATCCTCAATAATTTCAATATATTATGCAGTTCTTTATGATGACTTTAAATGATAAAAAAAATATCAATAAATAATTGAGCAATGTGAAAAGGTTTTGATAGAATAACCAAAACATCTTCATGCCTAATATAGAAAAAGTAATTATTTGTTTTTAAATAGGGTTATAGTTATAATTCAATAGGAAATTTGGAAATTAGTATAATTGAATCCACATTAACAAGCGATTTAATGGATTAATAAAGCCTTAAATTATAATTTAAATTATAGTTTTTGCTATTTCATGAAGGATAATATATTTGATTATGATTCTAAGGGTATTCATTATAATAAATGAATATTAAGATAATGGTGAGACATAATCTTGAAAAATCAAATGAAGCAATATTATTATAAGGCAATCCAACTAGATCCTATTATTATAAGTGTAAGTTTATGTTAATAAGTGATTTACTATAAATCCCCACTCAGTGTAAATAAATTTGATCATTTGAAAATATATTAATAAGCCATAGAGAATTATGAAAAAGCACTTTTACATTGTAAATAAGACCAAAAGGAATTAAAACAATTAATTATGCAATTAAGAAATAAGAAATGATATTTATTTAATATCATTAATAAATTATTGATCTGAGTTCTTTCGTTTCAATTTAAGACATTATAGAATTATTACATTTAAGATAATCAGATCATTTCTATTGAGAATAATTTGCAATTCCACCTTTAAATGATAATCTTGCAACTAAATTAAAATTTTTTAATTTCATACAAAATAGTATTCTGTAAATTTGTTACC